TTGTGACAAACTTTGAACTAACAATAAAACTCTTTGAAGAAGACCTTTGTTATACTGAAATCTGAACCCAAGTACTCTGAGGAGGATTTTCTAGTCGCATAAACAACAATCTTCCTTGGGGTTAAAATAAAAGTACTAAGTGTGTTGTCAACTTATGTTAATTACTGGTAAAAAAAAAAAAACAACAACAAAAAACACCTCTTTCTTTTTTTTGCCTTGCATATTTGCAGGAAATAAGAAAATCTTTTCCTATTGCAGATGTAATTTCTCATAAGCACTGATGTATATATGAGATGATGACAACTGGAAGCACTAGCAATTGATCAATCCTATCTGTGTCAACAGAAGGCAAGTTGGAATTAAGCTATTAATGTTGGAGAAAGTAATATCAAAACTATAATTTTTTATTTTTTTTTCTAAAGGTCATATAGTTTGCTCCAATGACACATGGCTGGAGCTTCAGCTAAATTGTGTTGCATATCTTTTTTTCCAATTGATTTATAGTATTTGAAAGTATTACATCAAACCTTAATATCAATCAAGTCCTAATTTTTATAAACTTAGTAGTTGTAGAAAACCAAATAGAGTGCTGACAAAGCATATGATGTTGAACTTGAATGCATTTGATAAATAATATTCAATATGAAATATTAATCATATATTTTCCTGGAGCTGTTAGCAAGCACTTTTAAACCTGACTTTCCCATGTACTAAAGGCAGACAGAAAAATTTTGCCCTGATGTCCCTATTTTAACCTTAGTTCTCTACCCAGTTCATATGCTCCTTTTCAGTTCTGTTTTCTCTATTCCACTTGAAACCATGCACAAAAACACAGTAGTATCATACAGTGGAGGAAAAAGATCTTTTGGTATTCATAGCAAACTCAGAAATACCAACAGAGTAGAATGACATTTATTTCTAAAAACACACTAAGTAGTTGCAGTCAGTAAATCATCTGAAAGGTATAAGCAAAATTGTCAGCCTGTTTACAGGTGGCTAAGTAGGCTGATATGACAGCGAGGTACATAAACTTGTGCCTATGAAGTCACTGGAAATACTTATTGAAGTAGCTCTTATACATATGCAGTGCAGAATAAAAATCAGCCTGTTTAAATAGCTGCCGCTCATATATACTTTCTTCTCTTCTTTGTGGCATGGACCAAGGAAAACCTGTAATAGTTCCTGAATGAATACAGTTTTTAGCCTGGTACACTATCATTAATGGATCCTTATTTGAATCTTATAATCTACAAGAAAACAGTGATGATGCAGAGGCTGCTTCATGAGCCATTCAGACTTCCTGTTATGAAAAGCTGTGAGGGGTGAGAGGCAGTGACCTGGGTTAAGAACCCTTGCAGTCATACAGTTTTCTGATAGCACTGTAGGTGAAGCAGAACTTGTAGCTTTAATGCTCAGTTAGTCAGTCATTCCTTCACACACGTGGGCACTGCAGTCTGGAGAGTTAGACTTTCAGAACATCTTTGTGCAGATGAGATGGAAGAAGGAGATGGAGGTCCTTTGTAAACAGTAATCATCCACACATTACAACAGGAGTGGCAATTAATGCATTGTCTGCTCAGCATCATTGTGCAAACTGTCTCTTTACAATGAGAATGCTCAGAACCTGTAGCCAGTAATGTACTCTTTTTTTACAAAATATTGCAGAAAAGTACTTTTATTTTATGAAACAATTTTTGGAGTTTAGCATGAAATTCAGATTATAAATCCTAGTATGTTTCTATCAACATTCTAAGAAACAAACATTTTGCTTTTCAAGCTTTCACCTTGCTAGTGTTTCTAGATGCTTCTTACTGCCTAAAATTTCAGTTGCTATAACAATGCTATCCAGATTTTATTAGTCTTTCAACAAAAATATCTCTGATAATGTATCATGTTACAAAGTCCTGAAATTTCTTTCTTTGAAATAATTCCAATATTGTCCTGGTGCACAAGAATGGGTCTTTATATTAAAATTCTTCCAGATTTGCCCTTTCAAAGTATATTCTGATTCTCCTTCTTTGCTTCCCATCTTTCACAGAGACATCTTCCTTTCTTTGGTAAAGGTCTATAGCACAATCACCTGTAAGGGTAAAACATTCTGTCTTTAGTACACCTTCCTTGTCATTGTGATAGTAGTTCATTGTAGCCAATTATGTAAAAAAAAAAAAAAAAGTACTAAAAGATGATTAAAGAGAACTGTAGTCCTACTTACAGCATTTCCTAACTTGAGCATCCCTTCTTGATAATCTCACACTTAAAACAAATAGTCTTATTTGGAAAAATTTTCTTCTCTCAGAGCCAAGTTCTTTTCACTAAAACCTCAGCAGGAAAATTGAATGTTATGATTTGTAAGTCCTGCCTTGATACCTTAAAGGAATTTTCAAGCAGATATGCTCCCACTTTTCTTCTCTGGATTGAGGTTTTCTTGAAATCACACAGAAGCAGCAGCATCTTCTCCTTTGATAGGAAAAAGAGTTTATTATGGTAGTCATGACATACAGTGTTTTGTGGATTCTGAGATGATAAACTACAACCATAAGATATTCTAGGAGTATTTTCAATTAAAAAGAGTTGATTTTGCACTGAGAAAGCTAAACTTTTATCAGAAGGTGGATATTTCATGAGAATCTTGTTTAGTTGAAAACTCAGGTTACCATTAAAAATATATAACATTGAAAATAAGCTTGGTACATTTTTTCTGTCTGTTTTATTCTCCATTGCTTTTCACCTTATTGCTCCTTTTCTAAGACATACTCCTTCTTATTAGATTGCAGTATCTGATGTCTCTCTTTCAATTCTTTTTTTTTTTTTGTGTGTGTGTGTGTTTTCTTTGCTGGATTCTTACAGTAAATGTTATATTTAAAAGCCAGCATGGAGGCAATGAAACAACAGGAAATCTTATCCCCTTTTCACTTACAATTTTTCTGAAATTTCCACTTCATTGATCAAATATCTAGTTAGAGTATCTGATGATATAACTTGTTCCAAGTGCTCTCAGTTCAATCTGCTGAACTTTCACAAAAGCTCTCCAAGACCTCTACTGAATTCCATTCATTAACCACAGGTATAATATGTGCAGTGCTTCTTTCTTCCCATCCTCCTTCACTCAAGATGTAGAAATTAAGTATATTCTCTTCAGCTTCTCCTAAGAATACAACCAACCGGTTGGATATCTGTTCCACTCTGTGCCTCTTACATAACTCACAATTAACATTTCTATTTCCAAAAAAATAAATAATGACAGTATGTTTCTTTCTCCATTTTCATCCCTGCAATGAGAGAGTTTTAGATGTGTTCCGGGTACTTAGTTTCTTTCTGGTTTGAAATATTCAATTTTATGGCTATTGTGTATCATTAATATGAATTAAAGTAACTGAAGTAGCATCTTGGTGAACCTGACCATCATTTTGGCATGTATGTCTTATTATGCATGCAGAACATATAAAGGATCTATGGTTTGAACTTTTAGTATTTTAATGTATTGCCATTAATTTTTTGAAATGTAGAGATAATTTATTACATGTCATGTAAAGACCAGAGCAACTCTGATGACTTTTTTCATGCATGCTTGTCTTTAAAGTCAAGCAGCAAAACTGTACTTTGAAAAGAAAGATTTCCATGGCAACAAAAGGGAAAGAAGACATTTCAAAATCACGTGTCTTTTTAGCCAAGAGTATTCCTTAGATGCTTTTATTTTATTTGTTTACATGAAAAGAAAACAAACCAAGAAAAATCGAAGATATTTTTTGACCATTTTTTTTACATTTATGGATAACAACGAATGTCAATTCTCTGTCAATAGCATTTCCCAAATCAACAAGGTTACATAAATAAATGAGGAAAAATAAGGTTTCCCAAGACCACTCTTAACAAACCCTTTATTTCTTGAAGGTGGCTGCTTATCCTTACTAATAGTCTAATCAAGTGAAGCATGTGGAGTAGTGAGCCTGAAGAATTCCAATATATTCCTAATTTACTTCTGAAAAATATTTGTAGGACAGTTCAATTTCAGGATAATTTTCATCTCTGGTAGTTGTTGTTTTCTGTTTAAATAGGAGGATTTTGCAGGCATGCATAGAAATTAGAACAGGGACTGCTATCCTTGATGATCTATCAAACAGTGTAACTATCAAGCATAACTTTTAAGACTGGATACAGGGTCAAATGGCTGCAGTGTTAGACTGCAAGCGCCTAGTGAAGTGATGTCACAAACCCCGATGACAGAAACAAGGGTTCTATATGGTGTAGGCATATAGTCAATCATCTTAGCAAATAAATGAAAAATGCAAAATATTAAAAATTTTGTTTGTAATGATTCTTCACAGCAAATCACATTTTTAATTTATATGTTGGTAGAATTGTACTTTTTTTTATACCCAGGACACACTGTATTCTTGAATTATGCTCTCAGTGTTTTCTGCCAAGTGTTTCAGTCCTTGAATTCCTGTGGAGATAGACATAAAGATGTACATACAAGTAGTGTATGAAAGCACAAAGTTTCTTACTTCAACTGACGGGACTCTTTCTAGTGGAAATATGTAGAACTTTGGTGGTATTTGGAGACAGATATCAATATCATATTCAAAAAGATTTGATCTATTTAAATATTCAGCCTATGGAACAGGTATGGTCCCCAAATTTCAATTTCTGTACATTGGCATTGCACTGTACTTTGGGTACACTGGCTCAAAATCCAGACCATAATTTCCTTATTGAATCATTTTAATGCAACACACTACTTGTGACAGCAAGGGATAGGCTGAAGGAAGGAAATCTACCAAATATATTTCACTCTTCCTCCGTGTATATGCTGAGTCAAGCACACACTTTTTTCATCTCTTATCTCAGTGAAGATAAGCTGTACATCATTTAAGGAAAAAAAAAAAAAAAGGAAAAACCGTCCTGCTGAAATGCTGAACTTGCTTTTATTTTAAGTAGAAAAAACATAGAAAAGGTTTTTTTAAACTAGAGCAAGTTTTGTAGTACAGGCACTAGCTGCTCCTTCTTGCAGGATTTCATCATCTGTGGCAGTGTAATTTCTTGGTCATAAGTGTGTCTTGCTAACCAAGATGCTGCAGGAAATTGTGATACCTGTGAAAGAGAGAGGAGATAGTTGGTTGCAACATGTAAATATATGGTTAAGTATTAATTCATTACAGGAAAATGATGTTAAGAACAGCAAAAAAAAAAATTAGTTTTTTATAATTTTGGGGTTATTTTCTTAGAGGAAAATAATGTAAACCAGAAGCCAATCAAGCTCCCTATTCTTTAAGAATTGTTGGGCAACTGAAAACTAGTTTAATAATCATATAAATGTAACATATCTGATACAAAATTTTCAAGGATTCCTATAACTTTGTTTAGCTGATACCAAACCTAGCAGTGGCCACATATAAGAGCAGAATCAAGAAATTACCCTGAGATTAGCTCGGGGGTTGGTTAGAACATGGTGCTAATAACACCAAGGTTGTGGTTTTGATCCCTGTATGGACCATTCACTCAAGCAATGGACTCAATGATCCCTGTAGGTCCCTTGCAACTCAGAATATTCTGTGATATTCTGTGAAGTTTCCAATAGCAAGACATGCCATTGAAAGAAGGACTCGTGTAGGACCACTGTATTGAAATTTCTGATTGTTATGGTTTAGGAATGCTATACCCTAATTTAGTGTTCCCACTAAAATGAAAACTATGAGCCACTTCCCATGAGAGACAAACAAGGCAGAGATAAGAACAATTTACTAGAAACAACGAGATAAGAAAATGAACAGTTACAGCAACAATACTAATTAAAAAAAAAACATACAAAAAGAGGGTGATTTATATGCAGAAAATGCTCACTGACTCACCCAGTGCTGTGTGGGCCCTAAGACAAAGAACAAAATGGTGCTGGACCTTCTGTGTGCCACCTTTTTATTCCCAACAGCAAATCACCCCCTTCTCCAAAGTGAGAATCCCTTACTTCCACCCTCCAGGAATGACATGGGTGGCATAGAATAACAACCTAGATATGCCCCAACTCTGCTCCAGGATCTGTTCCCTCGTGGCTATTGTGAAAAATTAACCCTCTCCTTGGCCGAAACCAGGACACTGACAAATCGGAATAGCCACAAGAGATGGTCATGTTTACTGTATTTTTTTATCAAAATAATTTTAAAGATGTTAAGTAAGCATCAGCAAATAGATTAATAATTGCCAATTGGTATTGCTTCTCTGTGATGTGATTTACCTAACTGTAGGCTATTTGTTAAGTATTAATTAAATTAACCAAAAACTCGCTGTAAGTTTAAGGCCTTAATAAAAATTGAATTACTTTATTTATTGCATTAACTGCCTGCAGGCAGACAAATTACTTGCATGTCATCACAGTTTATTTTGTGCTATTATTTTGTGCTTTAAGAAGCACTCTGCTGAATATTAAACATATTATGATATTTCTATCTACCTCATTTAGCAAATTGTTTCACTCAGCTGCATGGCTGTCAAGTACATACCAACATGTCTGAGAAAGAATTAAAATCCAAATCTATTTCTTTTGCCACATCCAATGCAGTATGTGATTTATATTTGAAAATAGAGTGTTAAGGAAGGGAAAGGTGCATCTGCCTGGAGCTACAGTTACAAGAAGACTGTAGCCTCTTTTCCTGCTTTTCTGTAGGAGCAGTGCCTTTACTTATGTGTCTGCCTCACCACTTTCACTTTTTTTTAGTTCTCCAAGGCAAGTGACACAAAGGAACATAGGAGCTAAAATTCTGCTTTGAGACTGAAAGGAGAAGATTTCAGTGAACAGGGAGGTTACACTAAATCCCATCAGCCAAATTTTATGCACACAAAAGAAGGAGCAGAAAAGAAGGAGCAGAAATGCACACACAGACCTTTATTTACTGTACAGTCTACCAGTGGCCAGCCAAGGCAGAACACACTAATGATTTTAAAGGTTGCTTTCAAGACCCAGGGACCAGCAACAACACTGTTTTTTCCAACACAGAATAGTCAGAATTAAAGATGTAGCTGCTATCTCCCCCCTATTCTCCATTTCTTAAAGGAAATTTAATTTGAGTTTGTTTCAGGTAGGTACAATGACCCCTTACTGAATATTTACATCTCGTCTGAGATCTGTGACGCTTTTTGTTTCAGAAGTGACTATTCATGGTAGTGGTGTGGAAATGCCAGCGGATCATGGGCCAAAGAAAAACAGAGAGAACAGCTGAAACACTGAATCACCTTTGTAAGTAGTGGGTGCAGTTACAGTAGTTCTAGAGTTAGGACTGGGAGAAGTAAATATCCTAGTAACCCCTGTGAACTATGCTTTGGGCAAAATAATGAAATAGACTTCATGAACATGGACTTGATTCCCTTCTGGGGAAAATAAACCAACAGACGAATTCCGGGAATGCAACTAGTACACTCCTACTTCTATGGGACATTTTATCCTCAGATCTAGGTTGATCTGAAGTTGGTTTTAATCATTTAAAGCATGTGCAGTGTCAATGTCAATTCCTCATTCCTAGCTGCTCAGGTCACAGATGCACATTTATTCTTCCATACTACTTTACAATGTAGACACAGTAGGAGTCCCCTCGTGGATATGGTCTCTTCCAGGGGGGTAAGATGTCAGGTTTCCATATAATTACTATGATTTTCTGGCAATGATGAATTCTTCAAATATGTCCCATCCTACTTAGCCAATGCTGCAATATAGAAAAGTATTGCTTTTGTTAAAAGTAAATTATTCTTATCTTCAGACAAGGGGTTTTTCTTGTAGAAGGTACAAGACTGTGATTAGGCGGTTTAAGTTCAAAATAATGTTTTAGGTTCAGATATTAGTCCAGGTAGAAAGTTCAAAATAGGTTTTTGCTTGAGTTCCAACTGCCTTTCTGATTCAAACTAGGGGCTCTTCTGTCAAAAGCCCCAAAGAAAGGAAAGCAGTAGAGCATCTTTGGTTTAGGTAAGGAGACAGTGCACTCCACATAACAAAAACACCCAAACAACTCACTCTGCCAGTTATTTTCTAGTAGGCTATGGTTTCAGTAGCTTTCATGACTCACTCAGGCTATCAATTCTACAGAGCTGCTGCAGCAGTTGAGGAAGCCTGTTGTCTTCACATAACCCTGATGAGTCACATTGTGATACCCTATGAATTTGATATGCAAAATCCTGCAGTCCTACATCATAAGAGTCCATGCAAATCCTTTGTCAGTTTTGATCTACATGAATTTGTAAACCGAGAATTCTGCTTTTATTGGAATATAATCATATGCTTACAGGCAGAACAAACATCTAAACAATAGTGTTCTTTTTGTTTCATGTGTAAGCCTTGCAAAGTTGTGATTTGCCAATGTTTTTGATGATGATTATGTGTTAAAAGGATTGCATTTGATTCTGTGTTCTTGAAAGGTCACTGACTCATGAAAAAATCTGCATTGAACAGGAGTCATAAGTGAGATTTTCAACAATATACTGGAACCCTAGTAAATGAGGCTGAGGTTTTGTACTGAAATTTTGTTAGAACTCGTTTGAAGCTAAGAGAAAGAGCTACTTGATTTTTACTGCTTTTAACGAATATGTTGAAAGTACTATAGCATTAATCTGAGAAGGAACTGTGAGTCAACTCAAGGCACGTGATTACTGTCTCTGTTTTGAAACCAGAGCATGAAGATCATGGTACTGCTAGATTCATTAATGCCAGACAACAGGTAGGAAACAGTGAGAATGTGTTTAATATTTCACTGTAAAGGAAGGAAAAAACTGAAAAATAACTTTCTTATGGCTGGCTGAATTTCTACCCTAATCCCTAAAAAGAAAATCTTTGTATGTCTAAGTGCATATAAAAACAGTGTTATGAAACTGGAGGGACTTACATTTGCTGGCCCTCTTTAACCTATTCTGCAACACAGAAGTCCTGGTAGTCAAACTGTAGCATAAATAAGCAATGAAATATCTGACATGAAACTATTACATATATTAAAGAACATCTAGGTTTATATTGGTAGGCATGCTCTTGCATGAAGTAGAACTCGAGGCCAGATTCGTTATGCATACAAAAGTTTAACCTTGACTTCTGCCCTAGTACTCCTGACAACATCTCAAGCTCTCGCAGGACAAGGTGTGAGATGAGAGTCAGGCTTGAAAGCTGAAAAAGGGTGTAGGTAGCTACAACTTCTATAAGGGCTGGTATTGATTATCTGAATATTTGTGTTTCAGAGCTTAGTCAAGTGGATGACCTTTAACAGCTTGAGGGCTCTGCACTGGGTCACTGCTGGATAAGAGTTTGTGCTATCTTCATTTGGGAGGTGGCAACAAGGATGGATCACTGTTTTATGGCTTAGTCTGGTGTGTGCCACCCAAGGGGAGGAACACACCTGATTGAAGCTTATTTTTGCAGATCAGTAGTAGCCCACAAGGTTATTAAGCAGTGGTAAACGCTCAGGCTAAGAACAGATATGTGATGAAATATATATACTTGGAATGAGATAGCTCTGTGAAAGCTCTTCTGGGAAATACTAGAAATGTCTAAAATAATTATACTTTAAATGTGAATACAGTGAAATCCAAAGGCATAACTGAAGCTTGTATAGATATGTGGGATTTAATGTTAAGCTAACTGCAGGAAGGAATTTTAAGAATAGTTCTTAACAGTATGGGATTCCAAGTAATATGTAAAATCTGTCCAATGTCCTGTATAAACCCTCAGGAAGCTGTGCAATACTCTAATACTCCTTTGTCTGAATTCTTAGCAGGACCCAAGACAGCTTTATTAAATTTAGCTGAGACAAATCTTTCTTTTTAGTGCTGACATAAGCAGAAGGTGGTTTATTTTTTCTGTTATTATATTCAACTTATTGTAATTTACATGTTATAAATGATGAGAATTTGTTTTTTCTAAATTTTCTTACCTAATTGTGAATAATTTTATAATAGGACAAGGCTCTCCCCTTCTTTCTTTTAGAAAGTACATGTCCACATTGCATTTTCTTCATTTTGATCAAACACTAGTAATAATGTACAATATAATTACCTTGACTATAGTGAAACATGAAGCCATTCAGGTTCTGGATCATGTCTGAATATCTGAAAAACTAAAAAAGCAGGGAGCAGAGTAATATAGATGATATGGCATTACTAAACTGCCATTTTAAGTTGAAAGTCAAACTCAGGACAGAGTTAGTTTTCACTGTGATATTGAAGTAGAATATTTTCTCTTTATCATGGAATTACTGCATTTAAATATAGTGCTAATCACCTTAAATGTCATGTAAGGTCAGGAAATATTTAATCTGTGTAAGTTATAAAGTGAATAATTTTTATAATCTATATTTCCATTGTCATTTGTAGGCTAGTGATATTTACCTTATTTTTTTGGAGTCTAAACCAGAGCATTTTAACACCAGAATTATAGAAGTTATACAGTGCTATATTTTGATAATTTAGATTATGCAAGGATTGCCAGGATTGTTTGGGCATTTTGGTGACCAAACACACTGATTCCTGGAATTGACAGTGTTCTCAGCCTGGAGTAACGGCACCTGCTCTTCCTGTCATCATTCGTTCTCCTTTTCCTTACTTTCCCCGAAAGCAGATAAGTAGATATACAAACAAAGTAAAACTGTGATTTGCGTTTATGCCTCTTTACCTTTTTTTTCTCTCTCTTCCCCTTCATGCTGTGAAAACACACAAAAGATGGACCTATAACTAAAGCAGCTAATGATGTCTGATTTAGCAATCATTTTTTTTAAGGCCATAAGTTACTTCTTTAATACATCACCATAGAATCATAGAATTATTAAGGTTGGAAAAAAACCTCCAAGATCAACAAGTCCAACCTTTGACTGAACACCACCATGCCCACTAAACCATGACACTAACCACATAGTACTGGGTGCCGAGTCCAGTAATTTCTTGAACACTTTCAGGGATGGTGATTCCAACCACCCCCCTAGACAGCCCATTCCAACACTTAACAACCTTTTCAGTGAAAAAATTATTTCTGATGTCCAACCTGAACCTCTAATGGTGCAATTTGAGGCTGTATTCTTTTGTCCTGTCACTAGTTGCCCGCAAGAAGGGATCAACCCCTAAGGACTAGGATAAATGATGGAGAGTGGCTTAACGAGCTCTTCCGGCAGCTCTCTCAATACTCTCAAGTGAATCCCATCTAATCTCATAAACCCATGAGTGTCTAAGTTGTATAGCAGGTCACTGACTACTTCCATAGGCACTCAACCTTGTCATCACTGTCCTTGAGCTCTATACTGTCAAAACACTCCCTAATGTACAGACACCCCACTGCCTTTCCTAACTCGATTGTTCCTTCTGAAGAGCTTATAGCCACCCCCTGCAGCACTCCAGTCATGCGAATCATCCCACCGTGTTTACGTGATGACTATATCATAGCTTTTGTGGCTTACAGCTCATCCTGTTTGCTACCCATACTGCATGCATCGGTGCAAATGCACTTCATGTGTGCAATCCATTTCATCACCAAAATGTTTGCTCAAACTTCCAGGATGATTGTAACTAGTGTAGTTTACATTTCTTTTCCAAACTGGTGGAAACCTGGCATCATGATGCTGTTGACATAGCACATGGGGCATACAAGCTAAACAACTCTCTTTTTTAGAAGCAGGCAGGCAATGTAATGATTTCTGAAAAATTCCTGGTATAGACCTTCACCCCACACTTGGAATAGCTCAGATCTGATAATTGTCAAGGCATGGTTCTGAGCACACCTCTTTGACTATTGAGGGCATTTTACAGGATGGTTATGAATTAGAAAACCATCAAAAAAACTTTGAGACTGGTGAAAATTTAGTTTCATTTCTCTTGTAATAGATGGCAGGTGTCTCTTTAAAATTTGTGTGTTAAAAAACCCCATATAAATATATTACTGAAATGCAACATTTCTGCTTTTGGTCATCAGCTTTTCAAATAACTCTCTGTGTTTTATAAAATAATATTATGGTGCTCTAGATTAGCATTAACCTTACTGCTTGTAAGGTTACAAATGTTTACAAAAGCTTCTATGTTTACAAATGTGTTGAAATCAGAATAATTTCTACCAATTAACTTTAGTGTAGTGCAGAAATAAGCTATATAATGTTTGATTTTTGTCAAGTGGTGTGTTGAGTTGGTTTTATTTCTGATTCAGTTTAGTTTTTTAGTCTTTTATTGAAACATGTTTTTGGTACACTTTGCTACCATTTAATCCTTAAATGCAATTTAAATATTAATCCTAATAATTTACTAGACAGTTTGCATTAGTTGTTCATTTCCTTTAATTGTCTTAGCAGATCAACAGCTGTGTTAACTCTTAATGAGGGTTGCTGTCTGTAGGACAGAAAATTACCTCCCTCAGTCTACTGGAAAAACAAGCACATTCCTATACCAGCAGAAATCTTCAGCACCCTCCCATCTCCCCCTCTCTCTCCCAAAAAAATATTTTATATGAAGATATTTTTTTATTAGTGTCATGGTTCAGGAATGGTATTCCCAAATTTAGTGTTCCCACTGTAACCTTCCAAACCATGCACTGCAAGCTCACTTCCCCCTCCCTCTCTCCCTCCCCCATGCAGTGGGCTGGAGAGGAGAAGTGGGGACACAAAAAATAAACATCATGGGTTGAGATAAGAATAATTTACTGGAAACAGTAATGAAATAAGAAAACGAACATTTCTGCCTCCTGGCTACTGCAAAAATTAACCCTGTCCTGGCCAGAACCAGGACAGTTGGTAATGTTTATTTAACACAGATAAATTAACAAGGAATTAATAATGAAAATCATTACATATCTGTATATCAGTATATATCTTTCCAATTCTATGGAAGATTTCCATGTACTACAGATAACTGAAATGCTGTTTAAATACTTATTGCAGCTATTTAAGAATTAAGAGTTAGTCATCACTGACCTACTGAAATCATCACATTACTGATTTTTATACCATATGGAACAAGTATTAGATTTTTTTACTGTGTTTGAAATCGGATGTTTACCAAAACTTTAAAATTAACCTTTCACAACCATTCCAGATGTTTTAAACATAGAACTTTACCAAAAAAGGGAAAATGAGATTGTCAAGAGAATTCCTGCAAAATATTATCATTAGAAAATAATTATTTAAAATATTTGTCAATCTCTAACTGAAATTAGAAAGCCATACGAGTATTTTATATTTACTTGGAAGAAATCTGATAGTATTTGTACAGATCAAGTCAAACAAACAAACAAAATACTTTGTAATTTCAGTTAGGGAGATTCCATAACCTCTCTGGGCAATCTGTTTCAGTGCATGGTCATCCCCACAGTAAAGAACTTTTTCCTCTTATTCAGGTAGAACTTCCTGTGCATCAGTTTCTTCCCATTGCCTATTGTCCTGTTGCTTGGCACTTCCAAGAAGAGCCTGGCACCATCCTCTTAACACCTTCCCTTTGGATACTTACAGATATTGTTGAGGTTCCCCCTCAGCTGTCTCTTCAAGAGGTTGAATAGGCCCAACTCTCCCAGCCTATTCTCAGAAGAGAGATGCTTCTGTCCCTTAATCATCTTTGTCACCCTCTGCTAGACCCACTCTAGGAGCTCCATGTCTCTCTTGTGCTGAGGAGCCCAGAATTGGACACAGCACTCCAGATGTGGCCTCACCACGGCTGAGTAGAGGTGCAGAATCCTTTCCTTTCGCCTCCTGGCACCCCAAGATATCATTTGCCTTCTTGGTCACAGGGACACACTGCTGGCTCATGGACAACTTCTTGTCCACCAGGACACCCAGGTCCTTCTCTGGAGAGCTACTTTCCAGCAGGTCAGACCCCAGCCTGTCCTGGTGCAGGGGGTTATTCTTCCCTGGGTCCAGGCCCCTGTATTTGTCTTTGCTTAATTTCAGACAGATCTTCTCTGCCCATCACTCCAGCCTTTCAAGGTCCTTCTGAAGTTGCACAGCTGTTTTTTTCTCTACTCAAATATGTCCCAGAGGCACTATCACTGTGGCTGACGGCCTCAGCCTTGACCAGTCTTAGAGAAGACTGGCATTGGGCCTGCCTGTTGGACATGGAGGAAGCTTTTAGCAGCTTCTCACAGAAGCCACCCCTGTAGCCCCTGCCACTGACTACTAAAATCTTGCCAGACAAATCTAAGAAAATTGTGAAAATATATTCAAAGAAAATATTGCTCAAGTATTAAAGCAATATTGAATTAGTGCTTGAGTGCTGAAAATGAGGATAAGATTCAGAGACTGGACTATTCTCTTTCCTAAAAGCTATAATTACTTTTTTCAACATTAATTTTGTCCCTGGAGGCAAAATAAATGTTATTTAAGCAGAAACACAATGTGGGCTATTACAACTTGACTTTATTTCTGGATTTAAAGGGACCAAACAATTGCTTTTGATTTTTCAGGCCTGGCTGTTTGCTGAGCTAGTAACCATATATATCAGTGACCAGGGCAGTTATTTTTTGAGCCTGTTAGGGCAATATGTGCTTTTCTAAGCTACAATTAAGACTGAAACCCTGTTGTGTGACTGAGCTATGGAAATCTTAGATTGGAATGGATCTGTAGCTTGCCTGTATTTTTAAGCTTTTTAGTTCAAAACATGCTGGAATTATCTGAAATAACTCCATAGCCAGATGATGACAGAGTACCCTTTTGTTAACATTAACAAAGGATTTCTATTTGATTGGCACTGTGTAGCACAACAGTTTTTGCACTGCATGGCAGTGCTGTAACCTTTAAAGACACAGTTTCCAGCAATCATATAGGTATATCAGGAGACCTTTAGGTGGATATTTCAAATATTTCAGGACACATTTGGATGAATAGTCTGAATTATACAGCATCAAATAAGTATGACCAAAATGCTCCCATTGCAGATAAATTGTTTTAGCTTTTTGGTTGCTTCTTCCTTGGAAACTGGATGAGGCTGAAGAGTGTGTGGGAAGTCAACATGTACTCATAGAGTCAACTTCAGGCTTCTAACATGTGCTCTTAATCTTTCTTGGGAGCATGTGTTTCTGCTGACAACTTAAAATCATAACCTTTATACTCTGAATGATGTTCTAAGGTGACTGTATAATGAATATCTCATCTCCACTGAAAATAGATAAGTCTTATTAGGTAGACCTTAGTCTTTGTCTTCTCCCTAAAACAAAAATACTAGTCATTTTCCTCCTGTGATGCTCCTCTATGACTAGTGTATTAAAAGGGGGGGCTATCAATTCCAAATATAAATCTCACCCATAATAGAGTTTTTAACCCACATTACTGTTCTTACATGGTGAAAATAAGGTGAATTTGACTGGGTTTTTTTATAGCACAGAGGAACTCTAGTTTTGTACTTTAATTAATATAGATTTCTAATTAATTAACTGCTATATATTTGGTTTGCAATAACTCAGCAGTGGGCATTTTGTTTCTCCTTTTAAAGTTAAAAAACGGATGGATTTTCAGAGAAGGATATTTTCCCTACTGAAACTGAAAGTAATTTTCATAATTTCATGTTGGTATAGAAGCATATGTTATTAAGATCACAGAATGGATTTTGTTGTTCAGAAATAACTTCTATTGCCAAAGAGGCAAGAATTTGGAAGAGGGAAATGAAACTGTTATTGCTTTGTGGCTTATTGCGCAGAATCTCTTCTTAGCACAATAGCAGTTCATAACGAAAGAGCTGGAGAATTACAGGGAGATAGTTTGCTTTTCTAGCTTTCCTGAGATTTATAATTTATATAATTTTATTTATCTTTTCTAGGCTAAATCATAAAAACTGAGTGAAACGTACCTCACACAACCATTGTTTTCTCGTTCTGCCCCAACAGAAGGGACTCTACCTCAGTCCCAAAAGCTACCAATTCAAATTACCCTCAGTAATCTGCATTGTTAGAAATTCGGATATCTTCTCTGATTATTGCTTCAAGAAAGCAAAGCACTGCACAAAAATTCCGCTCTGAGTTAAAAACAAAGGTGTGCCCTTGATCTATTTTCACTATCAATCCAAAACCCAGGAATCTTCAATTCAGCACAAGACACCCATGTGAGCATTAGGAGGACAGCTAATAGAAAGAGCTGAGCTTTACTGTACAACCTGATGCCAACATATTCTTTGTGCTTGGTATTCTTTGTTTCACCTCACTCTCTTCACTCTGTCTAGAAGATACCTGGGTAACCATCTCAAAGTATATTTCCCTACTGGTTCTTCTGAACCTAAATTACGAGAACGGCCACTCTCAATGGTAAAATTGCTCAAATTTTTTGATGCTATAACCAGTGGCTTTTTTTTAGTTTATTTCCTACATGCAAGACAGTGAGATTCCCTTGTGAAAATAGATACATATAACACTGTAAAGGAACCAGCTGCTATGGGAGATGTAACTTGTCCATGTAGTGTTGGAGAAAATACCAACGAGGTGAAGTCACAACAGCACTTACTCAGAACAGAAGCTAGAATAGAGGACACTGCTTCCACAACAGCTCTCCAGTCTCCTCTCTTATTAGAACAACTTCTGAGATACAAATTGATTTGTCTCATTTGTGGTCACTAGGGACAGTACTATAATTATTCTTTACATGGAGATTACTTCTTTTACACTTTTATTTTCTTTCACCACATTAGCTTATTGACTTTCAAAGTTTTTTGGTTTTTTTTTGCTTGGTATTCAAGTTTCCATTTCCTTCTTCTGTTATCCCAGTTTTAATTTCTTTCAATCAATTTTGTTTTAACTTTAGTGGAAATAAACACACTAGGAAGTAAATTCTCTGAGACAATCACTGTCCTTTCTAATTGTGTAAAAAGCCTAGCACTTATAATGTAACTTAGTAAGATTGATTTGCTGGAAGTGAAAACGAATGGTAGGGTGAATTATATTAAGGAAACAATGGCAATCTTACTTCTTGCACTGTTATTGCATTGCGTGGCAAAAGTAAAATTACGCAGTTACACAGCTCTTCTTTCTCCCTTTCCCTCCACTTCCTCCACCACTGAAAATGGAACTGACATTGCAAATAGTACTGTGAATTTGTATTATACTTATCTTCACTACCAGGACTACCATCAGATATGAAATATTGATGTATATTTTAAAACACAATGGACTCTCGTTCAAGAAATCCTCAATGCTTTTCTAAGTATGACTCCATCCTCTATTCCAAATACATTAATAGAATAATAAAAATACATCATATTTAGGCAATGATATTTAACTGAGAATTGTGGATGAGCAGTACCAAAAAGGTTTCTTAGTCTACCCAGAATCAATCATCAGGCTTACATCAAAAGAGCAAAACAGAATCTGAGTTTTAAAAATATAAATACTGAGTTAATTAACAACAATGAGGCATGCACAATTGTAAGAGATCATAAATATTCCTGTTCTTCAAGGCTAATCCAATAATAGCCCCTTCCTCTGAGATAAAATTTATTAACACTAATATTGGTGTCATTCAAAAAGGAGTTGAACTTCTGGAACTTCAAAACACTATTCTGAAATATTCATACCAATGCTCTGAAAGTCAATAAGCATTTTTATATTTGCTTCAACAATGTGAAATCTGGGCCCTTGTTTTCTGATAAAGCAGATTTTCAGGTGCTAGGAAAAGTATGAGAATTTCATGGACTTATAACTGACTTTATGAGAATAATATGAAACACCGAACAGATGTTTTAATGTAGTAAATTTTGCATTATCTAAATCTGTATTGCTTTCTTAATGTTGAAGATAATGTACATCTATTTTTAAATGTGCTAAATAGCATCATATAGTATTAAGAATAACTTGAAACTGTGTATTGTTGTTGGATTTAAGCCATCTCAGCAAACACCCTGTTTTTTAACATTTCACATGATCACACATTGTTCTATTTCTGACTTATTTTTCATAATCATCCTTCACATCTGTAAAAATAGATGTGCATGATATCTTTTTGAGGCCTGTTATTACAATTAGTTATAATGAAAGCTGTGTAGGCAGTCTACTATATAACTGCCCTAACAGCTAGCAAAGTCTAACTCTGTATAAGAGTTCAGCTATATGAATTGCACTGCTTTCATTTTATTAGACCAAAAATCATAGCCCCTTTCACAATTGCTTTCATCTTCTAGCCAATATGATTTAAGCAGTATGCAGTCAACCTTAGTGAGAAGAACTGATGAATATTTTGTCCTCTGAATTTTGAAACAGTAAATAAATTAAGATGTTATCATGTAACCTACAGAGTCTTCCACATCTCCGGGAAACTTGGTATAGCCATGTAAAGGGAAGAACTGTATCTAGTCACCTTGGCCTCCCAGGAGACTGGAAGGCAGAACTACCAAGCTGAATAAATACTTCTCTTTATTGCTGTTCTTTGATGTCTTCTCAGTCTTGAGGGACTTTGCAGATGCAATGCAACAGTTGACTCTCCTCCTACTCTATGTAGGTTCCTTACAAGAAAATGAGGTTATGTTTCCATTTCTAGAAGTCTGTGAAATGTTTCCTTTCTTGACACAAGATATTGTCAAGGGTCTTTTGGTACATGGTGTCAGAGAACATTATTTCAGACCTCAATGATATTTTTCTTGGGTTTATGTGGGAAGCTTTTAGTAGGGAGTGGCTGTGGAGGTGGATTGTGTGGCAAGAGAGAGATGCCCCGGTGTTGCTGTACAGAGATAGTTCCACCTGGCTTCAAAATGAACCTGCTGGTAGCCAAAGATGAGCCCATCAGCAAAGCTGGTGGAACCTCTATAGTAACATAACTAACAAGGGGTGAAAAACTCTGGGGAGCATTTGTGAGAAAGTAATTTAGATAATATTTCATATT